TGGAATTTTTATGGTTTCGTTATTATATACTTCAAAAATATGAATTTATACATCGACGTTTTAAAACTTTAATAAGATTTGTATGACTGTTGTGTTACTATTACATATGTTTAGCTTCAGGACATATATACATATAATGKMATAATGGAATAACTAAAAAGTATATAAATATACATAAACTTGAAAATATTCTATACACCCATAAAGTTTTTATTTTTTAGAATAAAACGGAAAAACCATTATAGCCTATATGTATAGGTAGAAAAACATGAAAATAATAATTTTTTATGTCGAAGTATTTTGCACATTTTAAATTTAAAAATCTATACCCACCTAACTTTCTTTAAGCTCGCTTATAGAATATTAACCCCAAACTTACCTGAACAATGTACCAGGACGAAAACCGCAAACTTATCCACACCATRTAGAATACATTRGTTATGAAGTCTACTATGTTCCATAAGTCAGCTGCATAGTCCACCAGACCGTCCGAATATAACGAGTGCGCTTCTCGCCATATTARACCTATAGCACACATTACACAAACGTTAATGGYGTGTTTTGTACAGGCATAATTTCACAATTACATTCATCCAAAAGTTTAACACTAAAATAATTTATCTTTATTCTAGGTACCTATATGGCTATAATATAAACACGTCCTTGRATAATTATTATATATCAATTATTATTTTTTGAATAAGTTTTTAATATTAGATARGCATACATACAAAGTGTATCATCTGCATTATTATAATATATTTATCATTTACATGCATTATAAATTGATAAATGRTAATTAACTCACTTATGATGTACAATATTATACCGCATTCTATAGGTCCTGGTATAGATCCTCTTTCTTTTCTAGTCATTTCTTCCAGTATCGATTTCGTCCAATCGGTGTCAATCCATTCCAAAGCTAAAAACTCGGCTCTTTGAGATGCTAATGCTAGTAATGCTGTATTATAGAATAATATAAACATATTTAAATTAGAGTAAATGCATGCAGTTGTACAGAGAATTCTTAAATTATTTACATATTGAAATACAGTATATTATGATAAAATTATATATTCATTGTTTTCAAAGTTAAAGGCAACACTAAATAGACCGACCTATTATTTTTATAAAAACAAGAACTTTGTGATACCGCAAAGTATATTATATTTTAAAGAAAAAATGAATTTGCGTCAATTGAAGTTCCTTTTATAAGTACTTCAATTATAATAATTTTTTGTAAAGCAAAGCTAAATTTTCTATTACATAAGCAATTTTATACATTTATTTGTTTTTAGGAAACTTAAAAAATGCCCGTGTGTGTGTTCGACAATTTTGACATAGTATGACACATTTTTAACTTTAATTTAAACTTATGTTATTGTTTTCTCRCTATCTAACACGTTTTTTTGTAATTATATATACATTTTTTTCAAAATATGTATTACAAATTACAATATTTCGTTGATTTGAGAAAACAAAAGATTTCAATATTTATTATATACTTATAGGCTATAATTATTATTCCATAGAAATACTAATAAGTGTAATATAGTATTATTTTTAACTTTGGCACGCTATGCCTATATACTTTAACATACTTAAAAAAAATGCATACGAAGACGAATGGCAGACGAATTTTATGAACGGTTTCTTCATCAGCTGGCCCATTTTTGAATCTGGATTTAACATGTACATTGAACCGTACATTGCAAACATTGCACCAAGTTTTCCAACTTCGATCATTTGTCCGACCATACTCTTCCGACGAAAACCAGGTAGACCGTCGTACCAGATAGCGGCTAACAATTGTTGAACGTTTGGATGAGCCACAAACTAGKTTTAAAAAAAAATATAGACCTAATCGTAAGTRTTTAATAATGTATTAGAATGCATTGCTTTTGATTTATATTAAAACCGTTAAGATATTTTACTAGGTAATATGATTTATGTTTTAAGTTTTAACTTGTAAAATACTTATATATATATAGTGGTGATCAGTATGAATTTCTAACTGGTACAAAATAGTTGTAAAATGTTCGTGATTTTGAGACACATTTTGCAGACAAAAATCAAAAAATATTTATATTTATATTTTTGTTTTCCCGGATTTTTTTGAAAAATCAAAAATACATAGAGTTTTTAATAACTTTTCAAAACTAACTAGTTCCAATTTGTTATCAAAAATCACCCTTAAAGTTGATTGTCAAAGAATTTAACAACACATGACAATCATTATAAAATCAATACAATATTCATCTTTCTGTTAAAAATCTAAAATTATTATCGATTTATTTACAACGCATGATGTTTTTTATGCTCGAGATATTGTATTATAATACTATATTTTAAGATATACATATWGGTATTTAAAACATTCTACCAAGATTTTATATTTTATAAAATCTATAATAATAATTGCGATAGAAAAACATAAAAATAATGGATCTTAAAAAAATGATAA